CAGCTTCATCATGCACCCTACGCCTCTGCTTGTATATGTTCCTGACATCAGCTTTCTTTTTTCTTTTTAGACAGGGTCTCTCTGTTGCCCAGGCTGGTGTGATCATGGCCCACTGCAGCCTCAACTTCCCAGAATCAAGCAATTTTCTCACCTTAGCTTCTTAAGTAGCTGGGACCACAGGCGTGTGCCACCATGCTTGGCTAATTTTTTTTTTTTTGGTAGAGATAGAATCTCACTATGTTGCCAAGGCTAGCCTTGAACTCTTTGGCTCAAGCAATCCACCCACTTTGGCCTCCCAAAGTGCTGGGATTATGTGCATGAGCCACCGCACCCAGCCAACATCAACTTCTCCTCAGACCCTTGCCTTGCCAAGCTGTCTTTGCTATGGGACTTTTGCACATGTTCTTCCTCCTGGAACATTCTTTTCTGCCACCTTTACTCAGCTTTCTTTGGCCACTCTGACTAGACTGATTGTTCCTAGTACAGCACTGTGTACCCATCCTTTTTGGCATTTGTTATTGTAGCAGTTTTATTCCCATCTCCCACCGTATTTGGTTGTCTGTCTGCTATACTAGACTAGAAGCTGCACAAGGGCAGGAGCTCTCTGCTTTAGCCTATTGTTTAAGTCACAGCACCTAACAGAATGCATAGCAAGGGATCATCAAATATTTGTTGAATAAATAAATATACAGAAAGGTAAAAAGTATGAAAAGCAAGCAAATAGACAAGGAGGAGGCTTCAACTTAAATACTCTTTATCAAAGATTAAGTGTATAATTCAGTTGGTTCTAACTCACAGTTTTTCTTAGGTGCTAGGCTTGTCATCAACAATCCTATTAATAATGCTAAAATTGCTTTAACAAATAGTGGAATAAGGTTATCAGTAAATAAAATATAATTAGTAGTACTTCTAGGTCAATCCATAAAGGCCTGTTGAATGGATGATGTCCCCAAAAGAATACTTTTAAGCCCCCAAATTTACTAAGCCCCTGTGACCTTTGAGAAGAACTTGGAGGGTATGAAGGGAATGAGAATTCCAATTACTAGCAATTCCCAGAGCTCCATGGATGAAAGATGCCATCAAGCCATGTTCTGAGGTCTGCAATTCTAGTAGTGAATGTGTGATGGGCCAGAGTGATGCGAATGGAGGAGAGCCCAGGGACCATTCAAAGGAAGAAGTTGCTCATAAGCACTGTGATGTGGTTGGCTAGGATAGGTCCCTTTTCCTTTTCTTCTGTATATGTCACTTTGAAAGTACGTGCGCTTCAGTAGAAAACACTGCCCAAAGTAATTTATAGATTCAATTCTATTCCCATTAAACTACCACTGACATTCTTCACAGAATTAGAAAAAATTACTTTAAAAGTTTATATGGAACCAAAAAAGAGCCTGTATAGCCAAGACAATTTTAAGCAAAAAGAACAAAGCTGGCATCACACTACCTGCCTTGAAACTGTACTACAGGGTACAGTAACCAAAACAGCATGGTACTGGTACAAAAACAGACACATACACCAGTGGAATAGGACAGAGATCTCAGAAGTAAGACCCCACATCTACAACCATCTGATCTTTCACAAACCTGGCAAAAACAAGCAATAGGGAAAGGATTCCTTATTTAACAGATGGTGCTGGGAGAACTGGCTAGCCACATGCAGAAAATTGAAACTGGACCCCTTCCTTACACCTTATACAAAAATTAATTCAAGATGGATTAAAGACTTAAATGTAAAACTCAAAACTATAAAAATCCTAGAAGAAAATCAAGGCAATATAATTCAGGATATAGGCGCTGGCAAAGATTTTATGACAAAATTGCTGAAAGCAATTGCACCAAAAGCAAAAATTTGACAAATGGGATCTAATTAAACTAAAGAGCTTCTGTCATCAGAGTGAACAGACATCCTGCAGAATGGGAGAAATTTTTTCCAATCTACCCATCTGACAAAGGTCTAATATCCAGAGTCAACAAGAAACTTAAACAAATTTACAAGAAAGAAACGAACAACCCCATTAAAAAGTGGGCAAAGGACATGAACAGACAATTCTTAAAATAAGACATTTATGCAACCAACAAATATGAAAAAAGCTCAACAACACTGATCATTAGAGAAATGCAAATCAAAACCACAATGGGATACCATCTCACACCAGTCAGAGTGGTGATTATTAAAAGTCAAGAAACAACAGATACTGGTGAGGTTGCAAGGAAATAGGAATGCTTTACACTGTTGGTGGGAATGTAAATTAGTTCAACCACTGTGGAAAACAGCGTGGCAATTCCTCAAAGATCTAGAAGCAGAAATACCATTTGACCCAGCAATCCCGTTAATAGGTATATACACAAAGGAATATAAATCATTCTGTTACGAAGATACATTCACACATATGTTCACTGCAGCACTAGTCACAGTAGCAAAGACGTGGAATCAACCCAAATTGCCCATCATTGAAGCCATTTAATTAGATCCTGTTAACCAACCAAAATGCCCATCAATGATAGACTGGATAAAAAAAATGTGGTACATGTACACCATGGAATACTTCGCAGCCATAAAAAGGAATGAGATCATGTCCTTTGCAGGGACATAGATAGGGCTGGAAACCATCATCCTCAGCAAACTAACACAGGAACAGAAAACCAAACACCATATTTTCTCACTTATAAGTGAGGGCTGAATGATAGCACATGGCCACAGGGAGGGGAACAACACACACCAGGGCCTGTTGTGGCATGAGAGCAGGAGGGAGTGCATCAGGAAAAATAGCTAACGCATGCTGGGCTTAATACCTAGGTGATGGGCTAATAGATGCAGCAAACCACCATGGTGCACATTTACCTATGTAACAAACCTGCGTACCCTGCACATGTATCCCAGAACTGGAAAAAAGAAAACCTAGCAAACAACAAACAAGCCCCCCAAATTTTTTTTTAAAAGAAAGAAAATACAAGTTACCCTGATAAAGGAAGATTTTTCTTTTATCTAGACTATAAAGGTAGCCATATTTTGTGCAAGAATTTCTGTGTTAACATTCCATGTCAAGAGGAAGAAAAGAAAAGAAGATTCCAAGGGCAGAAGGATTGGTGCAGAAGCCCTCTGAGAGCATGTGAGGAAAGGCAGTTTGATGGCACACATGCATTGCTGAGGGAAGGGTGGATGGCCTCTGGGAATGAGAAGGAAGGAAGGCAGAAAAGATAAAACACAGGTTATTTGCCTGGGAATGAAGGACACAGACAATTCTACTTTCAATGGCCAGATTTTCTGACAAATATTCCCAGAACATAGCTCAGGAGAAACACCAATTGCTTCGTGCAAACCATTCTAAATAGTACCAGTTTTATTTTAGAAAGAATAGCCTGACTGCAAAATTAAGAGAAATCTAAGATCCAGAAAATATCAAATTATGCCATGAGTTATTTTCATGAAATGATATACTACACAGTACTCTGAAGAAAACTTTATTGTTAAAATTCCAACAAAGAGGAGCACTTTGACGTAAAAAGCACAGATCCTGAAGTCATGCTCATGACTTTAAATTTGTATAAGCAACTTAATAGTACTTGAAAATGTAACCTGTTTATTGTGTTTTAAAGTGAAACTGAGGATGAGGTAATTTATGTTTCCATAATTGGATACTTTGGGAGCATGAAGCATTCAGGCTTATGGCAAGAAAGATCTCAAAAAGCAACTTTTATCTGTATTTCCTGGTTCCCGCCCCTGGAGTACATATATTCTGGTCTTCTGAGCACTAGATTAATTTTCTTCATGTGAATATTCTTATATTTTTCATTTGGGTATATTCTACAACCTTAATTGAACTATGTTATTTTTACAGAAGTTTTTCAAGAATTCATCTTCACCTTCCCTTTCACTCGGGAGGTGGCCTCTTATTGTGGATGTTGTATATAACCAGTGAACCGAATACTTGAAACCAATTTGCTGGTTTGAGAAGAGGTTATTGATTCTCACAGCATGTATATACTTGGAAAATTTCATTGTTTAACTCTACATGTGGATGAATCTTGCCTCATACTACTTTAAGTCAGGCAGACGGGGTGAGGCATATGAGTTCCCTTTGCTTTATTGAAGTCTTCTGGGAAGGTAAAACAAAAAATGTTTAACAGGTCTGCATGTTGCTTTGAATAAAAAGTACTGTATGTGCTTCTTGGAAAAAGTCTGGTGAGGTGATTTTTTTTAAGCATATGCTTTATTTTGAGGGAGCATGCTGGGAGAGAAATTTCTGTGTGATTTCTACAGAAGTAAGAAGACAAAGGTGGTAATTGATAAAACATCAAATCTTGGGCATTTATATAATTGTTGATTAAATAATAAAAGTTCAACTGAATAATTAATATATAACTCTTTGAATGGGTGAAGATGTACAAAAACTCAGCTCATGTGAGGTCAGCATCTCTTCTAGGGATTGTTGAAGAATATAGGCAAGGTGATGAAGCCGTATGTTGCTGTTTTCCTGCAGATGATGGAAATATGGGCCCCATCCCACTTCAGCCCCTCACTTCTCTAATTTTTCTCTGGGAATATTATTATTGGCCCAGGGAAGGTTCATTTCAGCAGAAATTCTGCCGTAGTGAAGCAATTAGAGCAATTTGTTAGCAAGAGGAAGTGATTTATTTTTCCCAAACACCGTTCATAAGATCATCATTACAAACAAGTTTGCTGATAAATCCGTGGCCACAAGAGAGGACTTTAATTGTGACAATGAAAGTTTCTTGGTGCTTAATGGAGAGAGACTTTTCTGCCCCTTACCGGTACAGGTTCATGGTGAGAGATAGGCCCTATGGGTATTTATTGACTTGAACTGGCGTCTTCTTCATAAAGAGAGTTATGTTTTAGAAATGAAACTCCTCAGGGTCTTGTTTGGGGTAAGTAATTAGTGAAGAACCAAGTAAATGTTGTTGGTTTGTTTTTTTTTTTCCTCAAACATCTTGATCTTTGGTTTTGAGCCTTTTTTTTAACTGACAAGTTACTTCTCTTTCAGGCCCTGAGCTTGATGTAGAAGTCTACCATATGAACCAGAGAGGGTAACTGAACGCAAATAAATGACTCCAATATCAAGCTAAAGACACGCCTTAAAGGATGAGGAGGAGCAGAAATCCCACCAGCAAGGCAAGAAAGAAGCTGCGCATGAACAGGTCACAGTATGAGAAATGCTTAATTCCCTGTTGTGATTATTAGCATGTGAAGCTTTTGAAACACATAGTCCCAGCTAAAGGATCTTGTATTATAATTTTTCAAAGACTACGCAGCAGGTACACCAGCCATACAGCTAATACAAATCAAGTGTTATTTCTAAAGTATCATGCACTTTGGTGATTAGCAGCTTGGGGAGCCATCGGCTGAATTTCTTGAAGAAACCTCCAGGAAGCCAGCCATAACTCTAAGACTGAGGCAGCTTTCAAGAAGTGTGATTCATCTTCTTTAAGTATTAGAGCCACCTAGGGTCATGCCAGCCCAGTCTATAGCAGGTCACCTGGAACTGAAATTCTGAGATATAAGACCTAGGAGGAAAAATGTCCCACCTGGCTCAAGGGATGAAGTCAATTTAAAGGGATGAGGAGAACACTGGCAAAATAATATTTTAAATCTATTAACCGATTTTCCTCTTCCAGCAGCTCCTGTTGCCTCTGCTTCCTCCCCCAAGCCCACTTAGGTATCATTTATTCTACCAGGAAAAAGAAGTTTCACCAGAGGGCAGGAAAAATAGGCTTTTGATTTTCCAAAGTCAGGACCCTGAAGGCACTTGGGATAGAGACACTAAGCTGAATTGATGCAAGGCTTCCCACCCCTTGTAAAACCTAGAGTTTTCCAGGTGTGTTGTGAGGACAGTGCTCCAGCTGGGGAGAATAGGGGGCTGTTACATGCTGGTGGGGAGGGGGTGAGGTGGGAAGGGAAGGCAGAGGGGGAAGGGGAAGCAGAGACAGCTCTTAGATGCTGGTGGCTCCTTGCTCCTCTGAGAAAAAGACTCTACACCCTGCTCCCCAGAGGACAAGGTTGTGGGTGACAGAGTTGAAGATGGATTGGGGTTGTCATCACCTCCAAGCAGAGCTCAAGAAGATTGTAAAACCTCAGAACAGAAATGGCTGAGTGGTGTCCAGGAGACAGATGATCTGAGCCAGCCTTAAAGAACTGAGTGTACCCCAGCACGGCTCACAAGTGTTAGAATGAGTCTTCTGTGCTCAAAAGTCCCATCAGAATAGTAATGAAAGACCCACAGAGTTTTCTGGTGCCCCTGTGGCCTGAAAGAGGTACAATAAAATTTCCTGTGCCAACAAGGGGCTTGGCAACAGCTGAGAGAAAATGTACCTCGTCTGAAGGAGTCTCGTGCTGGGGAACAGCTCAGTGGGGAAGACCCACCGGGAACAAGGTCATATTAGCCAAGGCTGGTGCTGAGATAGCATCACACAGAGAAAGAGATAATTCCCTCTACCTATTGCCCTGGTACAATGTAACACCCCTATAACCCAGGGTAAAGGGTGAGGGTGCAGAATTGAGGGAAATTAGGTTCTAACCCTGAAGATAGGCTTAAAATAGATAAGCGGTTACAGAAAAATAAAGTTTTACTTCTTGTACAATTGAGTTTGTTGATTGAGTTCTGAACCCAAAAGTAGAACCAGTCACTCAATCAATAAATTAATTAAAAAATCAGTCATACCTGACAAAACAATTTGGCTCTTCCTTTCTGGAATTTAGGAGAACTGTAACACGATTCACGATTCAAGATTTGTGTTACAGTCTAACATAAATCTTGACTATTGCTATGTAGTTAGATTACGTGCAGCCCCAGGTTCATGGGGATAGCTTAGCTTGCATTGCTTAGTGAGTGCTGACCATGTGGCTGGCACTGTCCAGGCACTTTCACCACTTTCCCTCGTTTAATCCTTCAAACAGTGTCTGTGAGACCAGATAGGATTCCTGCTTTACTGACAAGTAAACGAAGGCTCAACAAAGTGAAATCTGAGAGAATTCTAATAATTGTGAAACATTTCCTTTGGTGAAAGTTGGTTCCACATTTTGGTGGGTAATGCCCAGCGCTTCCTTCCTTCTTTTCCAACAATCTGTTCTTTTCCTGTGCGTTCTTCACCCTCCCACCTCTGTGCCTTTGCTCCAGTGCTCCTACTTCAGATACTGCTCCTCTTCCTGTCCTTTTGACATTTTCCCCAGTTTCTATGGCACAATTTCAACTTTGTCTGTTCCCTGACGCTTCTGCAAACCTCTCAGCTATTATTTTCCAGCCTCATGCTCCATCAGCACCTCACAAGTTCATGATAGCCCATTATCAAGTCAGCTTTGTATTGCAGGCTTTTGGTCATGATAGTGTCAGCTGGTAGTTTGTAAACCCCAGAAGAGCTCCATCTCGTGCACCCTCAGGACCTCCCATGAATTTAGCATCCTAGGCTTGCAGGTATTTTGGTGCCTTTTACATAATAAAGCCTTAACACGTACTTGTCAAACTAAATTAACTTAAAATTCTAAAACACATAATTAGTGAAAAATGAGACAGATGCTTCTAAGAATGTTTAACTGGTAACGTCTTTGAATTCCTTACTACTTTCCTTCTTTATCCCTAACTTTAATTTCTTTCAAACATACAAAACAGTTTAAAGAACTGTTTATTGTACACCCACGTAATGACCTCCTAGCTTCTATAATATACTCACTATTATGTTTGTGTTGTCATATCTGTCCATCTACTCATCCTGCTATCCATCCACCAATAGATATTATTTTTTCCTCGCTGCTTTTCAAATACCTCCAATGTTTGAGAGACTTTTGACTTTGGAATCAGAGCTGAGATTAATTCCTGGATCTTGTTAATTAATTCCAGTGCTTACTTGTTCTGTGACCTTGGGGGTGTTGCTTAGCTTGAGTCTGTTTTCTCTTTGTAAAATGGGGTGAACAACGATGTCTACATAGGTTGTGGTGAGGAATAAATGAGACTGTATATAAAGGGCCTGGCAAACAGTGTGTGTTCAGTACGTAGTAGCGAAAGTAAAATGATAGCATAAATATTTATTTCAGCCATCAGCACTGATTTGCAATGATTTTTGCTTCTGGTGTTCTTGCTTCCAGCCTCTGCTTTAGGCCCCGAAGGAAAAGAAGTTACAGGAGCCGATCAGTCTTACACTCTTCCATGATCATAGGCAAGAGGTCCCTGGATCTAAAGGTGAGCAAGAGGAGATCTGGGCTTTGGAGGGGGTACTGCATTCTGAATTCCCTGGCACAATTAAAAGGCAATAGAGCTAAAAGTAGGATCACCAATGATCTGCTTTACCCAGACAATGTGGGGGAACTTAATGTCTATCTAAAATTCAGAAGAACCTTTGCTAAAAATGGAGATGATTAGGAGAGGATGTCAGAACTCTGTCACAGCCATAAACCGGCCTTTTGAGCCTTTTGGTTCAGGGATTTGAATCTTTTCCAAGCGTAAGCCCTCATTAGTAGCACCCTCTACTCTAAGGCTGAAGGATGTTCCATATTCATGGAACTATTTCTTAATTATGCTCTAGGTCATCTTGCCCCTGAAATGGCCCTGGAAAGCTATGGCTGGAGAATGGAGGAAAAGATCACTTTCTCTGTTTCTTCAGACCGGGCATCAATTGGGATGTTGGGATATTGGAAGAAGGAAATCTCATCCTTTGTTTTCTGCCTATGCTCTCACCATGCCCATTACCATGTCTGATCATCACAGTGTCCTTCACAGCCCTTAGCTGAATCATGTTGAGTACAGGATGGTGTGAATATCATGGTTTGAATACAATCATGATCTGTCCATGTGGATTGTTTTCTGCAGCTCACTTAGACTTAAGGCCTCTTTATTTCAAATTTATGTTAGTATGTGGCAATAGAGTTGTCCCTAGATGAACTGGAAAATGCCTGGTTTCCTTCTCTTCCTGAGGTTTGCAACTTAGATGACACGTCACATTAATCTGTGGAACTTTTTGAAAGATACTAGTGCCTGCTTCTTTGAAAGCCTCACCCTTTATTCCAAGAGTCAGAGTCAGTGGGTCTTATGTTATCCCACTGCAATCTACTTTTTAAGTATCGCCACAAATTATTTTTCTTCACAGCTATGGTTTAGAACTGTCTTTTTACCATAAAGCTGTATAGCTCTTCTTAAAAACAGTGAGAGATGAAGTGTCTTCTTTTGAGATGTGAAATCTTGGTTTGCCTTTTCATTTTTGTGGTGTTTTCTATTAGTTGATGATCATAAAATGGAAAATGAGCTGAAATGACAAGATTAGGAATATTATCAAAGTAGAGTAGGTTGTACATAATATAGAAATGAGGACAACCCTGTAGAACTTTTGAAAAGATGCTAAATAAAAAGAAACTCCGTTAAAAAAATAAAAAAAAAAAAAAAAAAAAAAAAAAAAGTAAAGTAAAAAAAAAAAAGCTAATAAAGGTTATCCCAGCCAGCTAGAAAAGCAGTGCTCAGATTATCAGGTAGGGGTATCACCTAGGACAAGAAGGCAGATATGCCAAAGGAGTTACTCTATCTTGTCAAATCTAATACAGCCATATTTTACATTTTAACATCCCAGACACCTGTTGGCCTGGTGCCATTGGGATGTCGTGTCATTCCCATGCAGTATAAATTTTGCTGTTAGTCACGATGGCATAACTGGTCAACCCCTCAAAGTTTCAGTCAACAAACTAACAAAAAGCAAATCCTGATTGACTAAAAAAAATTAAATCTACTGTTGTCATCTACTGATAGATTAAAAAAGTAACAACATCAAAGCTTCTAGATCAAATGTTAGTTGCTTGGAAGAAAACTCAAAGATAATAGTAGAGTATTTTGTAAATAAATGATGCATTCTCAGTGCTCTCGATGACATGGATACCAATATCATATAAAAAATAGAAACAAATATGCCAATTCTGAGTTGAAAAGTGACTAAGAGGAGTTGGATACTCTACTTATGAAGAAGTTGGGAATAAAGTTTAATTGGCAGCATTTTATTCTTTCTTACTGGCACATAATAGTGGTTCATCTTACAACCACTAGTGTCTTAGTTTCAGTATAACATGATATTTGCATTGGTCTTTACACAGGAAAATATTGAAGAAGATTCTCAAGTCCAAATAGTTCCCTCAAAAAGGCATATGTGAAACTGTAGAAAGGACCCAGTGAATCACAAACCTGAGTGTGTAACTTCCATAAAGGCCAGCTATCAAGACCTTAAAAAGAGAGAAGAACCACCGTATATTTAGACAATGAAATAATATTTTTAAAAGAAAAATGGCTGGGTTTCATTAAGAAAGAATTATTTTATTGGATTTTTTTGAAGACATAAGTAAGCATGTGAACAGGAACTGATGGATGTAACTAGGCTGACTTTCAAAACGTCTTTCATAGGGTCCATCCTGGAGACAGTTAGAACAGCAGAAAATAATCATCATTTAATTGGAATTGGGGTGGGAGTGCAGTTTGGAGATTTGGTGTCTTTTAAGTACTCCAAATTTGTTTTATAAAATGGTAACATCTAGGGTTGGAGGTCAGCTTTTTGTTCCCTTCCTCTTGAGCTGCAGTACCCCTGAGAAGCTATAATTTTCTCTGTACTTCAAGACCCATAATTCACAGTTCCCATCTCTTTCCACATGTTGCCTTTGAATAGCTCAAAAAAACCCAAATTTCTTGTAAACCTCAGGCTACTCTTCTCCAGGCTGAACGCCCCTTTCATTTTATCATAGTCTGTTTCTTTGAGATCCTTCCTTTCCTTGAGCCTCTTCTCCAAATATCCTCCAATTTTTCTACATCTTTTGTAACTAGCTACCATAGTTCCCATGTGTCCAGGAGTCTTAGTTTATACCTATTTTCTGAGCTTAATTATTACTAGCAACAATTTCATTCTCAAACGTGTCCTTATTAGAATGTTATATTTGGTTAGCCTACCTACAATCGAACAGAATGTAATATCTAAGAGTGGGCTGACTAGCAAAAGTGAGAGCAGAGTTCTTACCATCCTAAGCCTTGGTACACTACAAGTGCAGCCAAACAGATGCGTTAGGGACTTGATTCACACATCACACCATTGTCTCATATAAGCTTGTCTCGTATAGATGCAATTCTCAAGTCTTTTCCACCCTTGGGGCCATGAAGCCACATTTTCCCCATCTAGTACTCGTGCTGGTGGTTTTTTGGCATTTGTTCCTAATAAATTTCATGACATTGTGATTTAGCCCTTTGTTCAGTCTGTCAAGACCTTTGTTATCCAAAATGCTGGCTTCTCCCTTCCAAATTCCTGTTACTAGAAGATATAATCTTGCTTTTCTATATAATTATCCAAATTATTAATGTTAAAATATTGCATAGAATAGCCCTGTGGCACTTTGCTTCTTTCCAATTTGACCTTGTTGGGGCAAAGGGGAAGCTTCCCCCTTGCCCTCAGAGAGTGCACTGAAAAATCAACTTACAGTAAGACAGATTAATAAGAGAAAAAGCATACAAATTTATTTAACCATGCACACAGAGAATCAGAGTGATTCCCCAATTTCCCAGTGGGGTCCAAACACTTATATAACCTCCTCTTAGAGGCAAGGGGGAAGATGAAGAATATAGGTAATTCTGTTGAGGGCATTAAATGATTACTGGAAAAAATGAGATGTGGGAGAATGAGTGGATTGCAGAGTGGCTGGGTGGTGAACAGAGAGTGACTTGTGGTTCTCTTTGGAAGTTGAATGAACAGAGAGACAGGCATTGTTTTGTAAAAAGGTTAGGGCTGGTCTGGTTACGTTCTTCCTCTCCTTTCTTGAAATAGATGATAAGATTACAGGGAAAGAAAGGAAAAGCAATTGTTCATCTTGTGGTTCCATCCAATCCTTATGAAGACAGGGGAAAAGTCTCTTCCAAGGCCTGTTGATTTCAAAGGGTTTTCAATTCATAATATTCATTGTATCAGGGAGCCATGTTTTGGAGTGAAACTCTCTGTGCTTCTTCAACCTCCATTCACATCTTAGGGGTCATTGAATATCAAAAACCTGCTTAATTGTAGTATCATTAAGGCTACATATTTCTGACTTTTACATGAAAATATCTTGAGAGATCTTTGCAAATTCCTATTAAAACTTTGAATGTCTAATGTAGAATGCCTTTTCCTAATCTATTCATCTAAATAAATAAATATCATTAAAATTAATAAATAATGAAAGAAAGAAAAAAGGGTAACAAAACTGAGTTAAATCTAATGTGACTATTTAGTGAGAGTGTATGGAGGCCTTGGAAATATAATGACTGGCACTTAGAATAGGTCAGTACTCAGTTAATATTTGTTGATCCAAACATAACTTCATTGATGAATGAGCAGAAGATCTTGCTTGTGGCTCTTGCTATGAAAAAAAAGCCTATTTCTCTACACCTGTCAAGGACATCTGCTTTGGGAAGTCCCACACACAGCTTAGGTCCACACCAGAGTATGAACTGACTATTTGCTAATCATGTAAATATTATTTCTGAAATGAAAACATGATTGAGGCTAGAAGTGTGAACCAAATGCAGAAAGTGCCAGCTCTTTAACGGAAGCAATTAATTAGGCATCATCTTTAAGTCTGGTGATAGGTCCCAGGGCGTTAATCAAATCAAATATCACCAGCTGCTGAGAGAACGGGCTCTTTCAGGAAGCATTCACAATACTAAGTGGGAGAGAGATGTGGCATTAAAATGCATTTTCTGAGGCTCCAATAGCTAAGGACACCTATAGAAGAATTGTGGGAAACTCCTACATAGGCATCTCCATAACAGATCAGATAAACACTGTCTTGAGTCAGTTGAAGTGGTAAGAAAAGCCTAGGTTTGGATACCAGACAGAGCTGGGTTCAACTCTTGCCTCTGCTTTTACTAGCTTTGGAAAATCAGCTAGTTCTGTACAGATTCACAGGATTAATGTTTGGGATTATATCAGTTGCTGGTAAGATAATTACAAGCAGCAAAATAATTAGCACCATCCCTGAAACCATCCTATGGGATCCATACAAACTTGCACCCACTGGAAAAATCTTAGGTTCGTCCCGTTATCTCTGGCCCATTGTTAATTGCAGAAGCAAAAGGGTTATAAGGGCAACACAGGTATTTGAGCTACATATAGTTTCCTCTAGGGGACTTGGTGCTATCAGAGGAGGTCATCATATTAGAAAACAAGTTTTTTTTTAAAAGTAGAA